CCATGCCAGCCTCGTCGGATCCGTGTCGAATCCGCGTCGAACACACGCCAAATCCGCGCCGAGGCCGCATCGAGCCCGCCCGCGTCGTGCACAAGAGAAGGCATCAGTGTTGGGGACAGGCGAGGTCCCCCGAAGAACCAACATAAAATAACTGCAAACACAAAAACCATCGCAATACCCCAAACCGAGATTCCCACGTGTGACGCCCGCCCGTCATATTTACAGCGATACGCAATTTTTGATGGCGTGGCAGCCAGATGCGCACCGCGGCAAACCCACAGCCGCGGGATGAAAACAAAACCACAACCGCGGTCTTCGCAACTCTCCCGCATCCCAACCGCACTATAAAGCTTGTCCACATCAATCATCGCGGGTTGCGGCTGCATCGACATTGTCCCCATCGCCTCGCGATGGGTTCGCCAATGAGCACAACAAGCTTCAGGGGGAGAAAAACGAGAACGACGAGAGGAGGAAGAGGTGTCTGCGCCAGCCAGGCTGGCCGAAGGGAGGAGGGGGAGGAATGGGAAGGTCCGAGGCAACGTCGCGCGAGGAAGTTGGTGGTCGTTCGGGGAGGCGGGGCCCCCGTGCGCCACGGAGCCTGGCTGATCAGAGTGAACGGTGCGCTGCCAATGCGGACCATAATGGTGGAATACGCACGGAATTGTTGCTGGGGGGTCAGCAGTTGTTGCCGTGCGATCCAAGGCACGATTACAAACGCTTATCGAAGTGTTAATTTCTTCCCAAGACCGATCCTCATGGCGTTGGACGTATCATGTGTGGCGCACTGTTTCTTATCGCGTTGTGAAGATGAGCTGGAATTATGTTGCCCCCATCGCCCTTACGGAACACACCCCTGAAATTCGCCGGCCCAACGGGCCAGAGGCGTGCTAAGATCTCCAGCAACTACTTAACAATATTTCTAATTCGCGCGCGCGGGGCGGCCCCTGGGGGGCCCCGGGCGAAAAGTACCCCGGCCGATCCCCGGCTGACCCCGGGCGATCCCCAGGGGGGAAGCTATTTTTCGCAACCCCTCACGAGGGTCGTGGCCTCGTGAGAGGGGGGGGGGGGGGGGGACAACGACTACCCCCCCCCTCCCGCCCCAAGGGAGCCCCAGGGGAGCCCAATGCGCCGCCATGGAGCCCCAAGACGCTCCCAAGAAAACCCCAAGAAGCCCCCAAGACGGCCCCAAGAGGCCCCAAATAGCGTTCCAGGGCGGGCGGAATGAGCGAAGCGATCCGCCGCCCCACCCGGAACGGCGCGCGAGATCCCCGCCGCATGGTCTGCACGAACTCAGCTTCCTCAATCTTCGCGCGCACGAACTCCTCGTACCAATGCCCATTCCTCAGAGCCCTTGCAACCCCTCCTGGGGCCCTCCCCGCGGCCTGCTCATTCCGCCGGCCCGGGGGGCCACAGCTGCGGAATGAGCGCTCTTTGGCCATCATTT